ACCCAGGATGAGAACAACTTTTGGGATAGCAAGGCTATGTGAAATTCAATGGAAACGTCAGCTCAACTCAAATCTTCATCACCTTAGACGAAATAGGGTGAATACATCTCATTGTGTATATATACATATGAATGCAAGTTACATAGGTCTGGGTCTATATAATCGTCGGTATTGGTACCGTTGTAGTGAGTGACGCTGCCAATACACCAAATAAGATCCATGCTGGCACATCCTGACTGGATTGCTTGCCGACAGCTTCGTTTCAGTCCGAAAAGTCATCTGAGCACCTGAGTTTGGCCGATGATAGAACGTCTAGACCCTGAACGACTTCACGATTGGTCTTTCTGTCTTGACTGCTACCCAAACGCTGTTCATCTGATCGAGTGGCTGGACCAGCGGGCACGAATCGGCCATGACTAGTTAAACCGGTCAGCCAAACTTCGCGCCTCAGAACTCCGGTTTGCAGCATGACAGACAGTCTGAGAGTGGTGCTGTTCAGCCTCCACCGTTGTCACCCAGTAACCGTGCTTGTAGATCGCCTTGACGGAGGAGCATTGGAGAAGACATTCGTCAAAACTGTCTCGTGAGGCTATGATCTCAAGTTGACATCAGTCTGTACCGGCCCGGCAGTTATTGCAGCTGCCCATGCGAAGGCATGGACGAAGAGCCCAGATCAGTTGCGCAATGCTGTCGTTCCGGCTGGTTGTCAAGTCGAGGTCGACGTACGAACAACGCAAACTCGTACAGACCGTCTTAACCAACATGCCACATTAATCGTAATGGCGCCGTAATTTCATCAAAAACTGGAATGTGTGCATATGCACACACAGATACATACCTGTGTGCACACGCAAAAACGGATGAACAACGGAGACTGGTAGTGAGGATGTGGCTGGTGAATATCTCGGCCACTTACCTCTCTATTCAATTATGTCCATGTGTATGTCTGCTTGCTTGTATGTACGTATGTTTGAGAGTGACTAAGGAAGTCTTGTAGTGTGTCCGAAAGAGGTACTGATGCGCTGGTTGGCCGAAGCTTGGACTGGTTAATCTATTGGTTGGTGTATGGTTGCTGTAAGTGCTCTTTGGTCACTTTGGAAGGCGGTCAGAGAGCATGGTCTCTAGCTCCGGCCTCGGAAACTTAGTCATCGTTGTTTGCGTCATCTGCCGTTATTTGACCGACCACAAATTGCAAGAACGATTTGATAAAAATGAAGACCAATAACGCTTAGTTTGGATGGATGCCTTTAACTTCACGACTGCAGGTCCTTCCAGCCCGATTTCAGTATACGCCAAGGGTTTAGTCCAGGCAAGCAAGTCCTACAGACACAAGACTCTTAAGTGGTTAGACTTAAATTTCATTCAAATTCCGGTTGCGGTTGTGTTCTCCAAATAACTAGTTTGGCTAAAACTTCTATGGAACCTTTGATAATTTAATTTAGTGTTCTCTGTTGACCCCCACAGGATCAGATTTGAGATTTACTGATGGAATGGTTCGCTCACGGGCATTAGAGACGCTATTTTTCCTTAATAAGTAGATTTTCGAGACTACCACTAAATCAGATATAAAAGATGTATTCACCCTATTTCCTTTGAGATGATAAAGAACTGGTAGTTGAATTTCCCCACCTTCCGCTACCGGTGAATTTCACATAAGGTATTATCATCCAGGGCGGACTGCAGTTTTGACTACGCCTAGGTCTCATCAGCACCCCAACCGGACTCGAATAGTGATAGTGCTGTGTAATCTCGACACGTTAAACACTACGTCACACTACCACGAGTGCCCTTGAGCAAACAAGCAGATGTGAATTTCACGGAAGGCCGGGTATCGATGGTGGGATTCTCGATTAAGCAAATTTGTATTTACGTTACTTATTTTTCGTTTATAAGTAGGCTCTCGAGTCCCGCTGGGGGTGTTGATAAGACCTAGGCAAGGTCGAAACTGCAGTCCACCCTGGATGAGAATACGTTTGGGGAAAGAAAGGCTATGTGAAATTTAATGTAAAAGTCATGTTCACTTATAGCATTGTGGGAAGATTCAACTACCAGTCTCATTATAACCCTAAACGAAACAGGTGCCTACTTATAAACGAAAGATAAATAATGTAGTTGATTGCTATAATATATACAAATTTGCTCCATCGACAATCCCACCATAGAACGTGATATTGGCAAATGCCTGGCCTTTTTTCGAAATCACATCTGCCCTTCGGCCCAAGGGCACTTGTGGTTCTGTGACGTAGTAGTTAACGTGTCGAGATAATACATTGTGTTATCACGGTTCGAGTCCCTCTGAGAGTGCTGATGAGACATTGAAGAGGTCGAAATTGCAGTCCATCCTGGATTTTAATAACTTTTTGAGAAGCAAGGCCATACTACATTCAATGGGAAAATTCGACCTTAAACGAAATCATGTGAACACATTTCATCTATCAGATAGGCCAGTTTGAGGTCTCTTAGTCAGTTAAGAAATACGATAAAATAAACTAAATTTTCTTA